TGCATAATTAAGGGCGAATTCACCGATTCGTAAACAATACTTTGAAAGCAGAATTGAGCGAATAACTTAACGAATTTAGAAATATGACCTAGACAAGAAATAACAACTATACACAAATAGTCTCAGTTAGCAAAAATCCCCTGCCAAGCACCTTTAGCACGCGAAAACGCTGGCATGCGGCGGACGTTCGAGACGCTAGATCGATATTTATACTTTCCTAGTCGCTCGGAACGCTGGTACGTTGGCATACGCTCACGCAAAGTATGAACGCATCCTTAACAGCAGTGGCCAAACGGTTAACTCGCCTTGCTGGTTACACAAATCACTTACTACAAAAGTCACCGTGACGCACGATTGCCCACTTGTCAGGAAACCAACGAAACTATGTTCAGCTAATCTCATTTTCACAAAGTCCCGCGCATTTTACCCATGTGTTCGGCGCGTGTTCTAAGACTTGCTAGTGCTCTGCTAGTTGCGTTATATATCCACACAGAGTAAAATGGATCGTAAATACCCTCTGTGCTGGAACGGGCTTATGGAAGCCCATTCAGAGAGCTTATCGATTAAGACGCCGATTTTGCCAACCTGAGAACTATTTAGGGATATAAAATGACGCGCTATGAATCACTTCCTTGACCACTTGAAGAACGTCCTCGTTAGGCGCATCACCATCAGCCAAGTTTCGTCAGGAATGGCACTGTATCTTCAGGAGTATACAGGTTGTACTCTGAAAGTATTGCTTCATTTCCTCTGAAAAATTTCTAGCGATGAAGTAAAATCGTTATTCATTCTCCGTTGGATAAGTTTCTGTTTAAGGCACGCGCCGGGTTCAGAAATGGTGATGTGTGTGTCTCAGATACTTATGACAAGATGGTAAATAACACAGCAACAGAACAGCGGCACCATCAGGATACTTCCAGAAATGAAAGTTGGGCGTTGTCGGATCATTGGGCGGGTCCCACTTTCCTCACGTATTTTTGAGCTGCGAAAGTAGCACATCTCATGCTTGCGGACAGGACTACCATGTCCAAAGGCTTCTGCGCATCAAATGAACTTCACGTGCTTCTGAAAATAAGCAGACGAAGGACATCCTACTCTGGTCACGCAAGATGAGCATGCGGTCAAAGGGCTGTTGATTACGACGCTTAGAAGTTTTCTGCTGCATCCATCCAAAAAGCCACATGAACCTTGAGCTAAGAAAATCCACTGATTTACTCTGGCTCGTAACAGGGACGCATGGAAACGTAACTGGTACCTACTCGAGAAATTCGATGATCAACGAGATGACAGGTGACAAGCTATGATTTGTTAGCTGACTTTCTTGCGACCCCCTAGGAAGAGCGTGATTGTTATAATTAGTAAGAAGTGGATCGTCAATCTTCGCGCATGAACGTCGGACTTGCGAAAGGAGCCTGTGACGTAAGTGCACAAAATTGGATTGGAGAATAAAAGCGACCAAATTTGAATGAAGATGGTGACCAGTTCTTGAAAAATTCGAATTCACGCGTATCACCCCAGTCCCATAGTTCAGTCCAGCTATTTACATGTCGCTACAAGCTGCAATGGAAAAGATGAAGTGAAGGAACACATGATGCAGTCTCACCTTTCATGGTCTCACTCATAGCACCTCGCAATACTCGCATCCAACATTCCATGACGTGATCGGCTTCTTTACCCGTCTTTTTATCTGAAAAGAGAACATGTTCACTCAAACTCTTGAACGGGTACTTCGGTGAGAGGCGTCACACGCAAACTAATAGCACGACCGCT